TACCCGAGAATTCGATGCAGAAGTCTGATGGCTCAGTGCATGATTTGGCTGGCCAAGGAATACTTGGTGTTGAAGGCGTCCATCCTTGAGATGACTTTCCACCAGTGAAGGGGCTCGTAAGCATGGAGGCCTGCATGCTCGGGAAAGAACATATCGGCATCCGGATTTAAGTCCAGTAATTGGTTAAACTGGCGGAGGGTGAAGGTTTCTTTTTTGTTAAAGAGTTGGAAGGAGATGGAGAGATCATTATCCCCTGCGACATGGCATTCGAAGGAGGCAAGAAACTCAAGGGTAGGCTCTTTGTAGGTTCAATAGGCACTAGTCACAAAAGACCCTAGCCCGAGATTGTTGAACAAGAACCAACAATCCTCGTCGATGCCAAGCTTGGTGGTGGTGGGTTGGTGGTAGTGTTTGGTTGGTCTTAATTTCCTGTTTTGGAGGTTGTCGTAGATGGGTTTATGGCTTTTATTGTGGAATTTGAGGGGTGGTAGAGGTGGTGGAGCAGTTTGTGTTTGTTCATTTTGTTGGGGGTTTGAGGATGACGAACCATGAAGTTCCTTACCACTCTTTCTTTTCTTTGAACCAAACACCATTTTTACCACACAAATATACTAATACCAAGAAATTCTCCTCAACAAGCCACACCAAAATCAACCGCAACAACTTTCAAATCCAACCAAACACCACAAAGAACACCTCCAAGTAATTACCAAGAACAACTCACAACAAAAAAATCTATATGGGGAGACAACTATCACAAACAACAACTCAAAAATCAATAATGGTTAAGATGATAAATGAGTATAAAATAGGAGTACAGCCATCAAGAATTTCAACATGCAAAATCACAAACATGAAATTTTCTCAAACAAACATGAAATTTTCTCAAACAAGCATATACTTCAAATTCAAAGGAAATAAAGAGTAGAAGAGAAATTTATACCAACAATGAGTTCAAATGAGTACTCCTACTAGCCTTTGAAGAAGAAGAAAAGCCCACCTCCAAGAACCCTTCAATGGTGGAACCAAATCCTACACAAGAAGTAGCACCGAAATTTTGGGGTATTTTAATGGTGAAAATTCAGATTTTTGTTGAGAAATTGCAAGTAAAGTGATGCAATTTGATGGATTTTGATGATTTTGGGGAGGAATTTGATGAAGAATGGGTTAGGGCTTGGAATGGAGTGAAAAATAGAGAGAGAAAGAGGGAAAAACACTGATTTGGGGGTGAAATGCTTCTCGGGCATATGGCTGAGAATAAAAGAAGAAGTCGCAGTTCTTTTAGGCCGCGCTCGCGGGGCCTAGGGCCGCGCCCGCGGCATACCCTGTCCGTGCCCGCGGGTTTGTATTCCGCACCCGCGGGTCGGGCATTTTAACTTTTTGATATTCTGAACTACTGTTTGCCGCGCCCGCGGAGGTGCCTGTCCGCACCCACGGGGGTATATGCCGCGCCAGCGTGGTTCCTGTCCGCGCCCTCTCTCGGGCATCTCTCAGGCATCTTTACTTTCTTTAAAATCCTGAATACCCCTTACTCCACGCCCGCGGGCCTATGGGTCGCGCCTGCGAGTCTTCTGTGCGCGCCCTCTCCAGTGTTTCTCCTGGCATCTCCACTTTCAATTCTTCCATTCTCCTTCTCCTCTCCAAACACAACTTAATAGATCAAAATCCTAAAGATCCAAGTACCTAATGGAAGAACAAACACACACACAATAAGAGATTAAAGAAAAATCGTCCAAAAATAATCAAACACAAGAAACACTAAATCAAAAGAGTTGAGAACTTGGGTTGCCTCCCGAGAAGCGCTTCTTTATAAGGTAATTAGCTTGACCATAGCACGTCATCATTAAGCAAGCAGCTTAGGACCCGGTGGATCAAGCCTCATGCACTCAATTATGCCAACTTGATCATTGCAATGGTAGAGCTTCAAACGGTGGTCGTTGACCATGAACTTGTTCCCCTCCGCCTCCAACTCAAAAGACCCGTAAGGAGTAGTCCTCGAAATTGTGAAAGGCCCCGACCACTTGGATTTTAGTTTTCCGGGAAACAACCGAAGCCTAGAGTTGAACAACAACACCTTGTCTCCAACCTTGAAGCTCTTGTTCCTTATATGTCGGTCGTGTCATCTCTTAATCCTCTCCTTGTAGAGCCTCGAGCTCTCATAAGCATCAAACCGGAGCTCCTCAAGTTCATTGAGCTTAAGCAATCTTTTCTCACCCGCCAAGGACATGTCCATGATAAGCTCTTTGATCACCCACCAAGCCTTATATTCTAACTCAACCGGCAAATGACAAGCCTTCACATAGACCAACCGGTAAGGGGTCGTGCTAATGGGGGTTTTGTAAGCCGTCCTTAGAGCCCAAAGCGTGTCATCGATCTTGAGAGACCAATTTTTGTAGACTTGTTCACCATCCTCTTAAGAAGGTTTTTGATCTCTCTATTGGACACTTCCACTTGTCCTTGAGTTTGAGGGTGGTAAGGGAGACCAACCTTGTGATGAACCCCATATCTTTTGAGGAGAGCTTTGAATTGCTTCTTGGCAAAATGAGAACCACCATCGCTAATTAGCACTCTAGGTACCCCAAACCGTGGAAATATGACCTTTTTGAGAAGCTTGAGCGCAACCTTGTGGTCGTTGGTGGGGGAGGGTATAGCTTTAATCCATTTGGTTACATAATCCACCGCCACCAAGATATAAAGATTCCCACAAGAAGACACAAAAGGCCCCATGAAGTCGACACCCCAAACATCGAATGGCTCCACTTCCAAAATGTTTTGTTGAGGCATTTCATCCCTTTTGGTTATACCCCCACTTCTTTGGCATTTGTCACACCTTGAAACGAACTTATGGGCATCTTTGTGCTTTTTTGGCCACCAAAGAAGAGATTGGGAGATCTTTGCCACGGTCTTTTCAACTCCTCCATGCCCTCCACATGGCAATGAGTGGCAATGTTCGAGAACTCCTTCTATCTCATAATCCGGAACACATTTCCGAAAAAGGCCATCTCCACATTGCTTGAATAGATAAGGGTCATTCCAAAAATACCTCCTCACTTCCTTGAAAAATCTCTTCTTTTGTTTAGAGGAGAGCTCCGGGGGGAACAACTCCACATGCTAGGTAGTTGGGTATATCCGTACCAAGGGGTATATCCAAAAATAACCATGAGGGTTTCAAATCCCACCTCATCATTGATAGGAACATCTTCCTTATTCTCAAAAGGAAGCCTAGATAAGTGATCTGCTACATAGTTCTCCGCTCCCTTTTTATCCCTCATCTCAATATCAAAATCTTGTAGCGAAAGAACCCAACGGATAAGACGCGGTTTTGCTTCCTTTTTGGTCATGAGATAACGAACCGCTATGTGATCCGTGTACACGATCACTTTGGAGCATATAAGGTAGGATCTAAACTTATCCATGGCAAAGACAACCGCTAGCATTTCCTTTTCCGTTGTGGTATAATCCTTTGAGCTTTGTCAAGCGTTCTACTTGCATAGTAGATGACACAAGATCTTCCTTCTTTCTTTTGTCCAAGTACGGCACCTAATGCAAGATCACTAGCATCGCACATTAGTTAAAATGGCAAGCTCCAATCCGGAGCTTGCACAACGGGAGAGGAGATAAGGGCTTCCTTGAGTTTTTGAAACGCCTCAAGGAAAGCTTCATCAAAGCTAAATACAACATCCTTTTTGAGCAATTTGATTAAAGGCTTGGCGATTGATGAAATTTTTTTGATAAATCTCCGGTAAAAACCGGCATACCCTAGAAAGGCTCTTACTCCCGTAACGGAAGTAGGAGGGGGCAACTTGGCAATAACCGAAACCTTTGCCGAATCAACTTCTATGCCCTTTTTTGATACTTTATGGCCTAGGACTATGCCTTCCTCGACCATAAAATGGCATTTTTCCCAATTCAACACTAAACTCGTCTCTTGACACCTTTTCAAAACTTTTTCAAGGTTAATAAGACATGTGTCAAAACACGAGCCACCAACACTAAAATCATCCATAAAAACTTCAATCTCATTCTCAAGCATTTCAGAAAAAATGGATGTCATGCATCGTTGGAAGGTTGAGGGAGCATTGCATAGCCCGAATGGCATTCTTCGGTATGCAAATGTCCCATATGGAAACGTAAAAGTAGTTTTCTCTTGATCACTTGGATGGATAGGAATTTGGAAAAAGCCGGAATATCCATCCAAGAAGCAAAAGAGAGCATGATGGGAGAGTCTCTCTAATATTTGGTCCATGAAGGGGAGAGGAAAATGATCTTTCTTAGTGTTTTTGTTCAACTTCCTATAATCAATGCACATCCTCCACCCGGTCACCGTCCGGGTGGAGATTTCCTCTTCTCCTTCTCCCTTGACAATGGTCATTCCACCCTTTTTTGGGACCACGTGAATCGGGCTAACCCACTTGCTATCGGAGATAGCATAGATTATACCCGCTTCACTCAATTTCAAAATTTCTTTCTTGACAACCTCTTGGAGGTTGGGGTTCAACCTCCTTTGAGGTTCAATGGAGGTGGATTGATCATCCTCAAGGTGGATACAATGCATGCATAAAGAAGGGCTAATACCCTTGATATCATCAATGTTATACCCTATCACATTTCTATATTTTCTCAAAACAACAAGTAATTTTTCCAAATCAAGACCATCAAGGGAAGCATTGACAATAATAGGGTATTCCCCTTCACTTCCAAGATAAGCATATTTCAAAGAAGGGGGAAGGGGTTTGAGTTCTACCTTGGGAGGAGGCTTAGAACTCTCCTCCAATTTTTCCTCCTCAAGTTCTAGCTCATCATGCTTAGGATCATTCACTTCCTCCTCTTTGGCTTCGTCAATGGCCATGACAAACTCCTTTGCTTCTTGAGAGAAGTACTCTTCCTCACATGTGATAGCTTCAACCATTGGGTCATAAGGACTCATCATAGCCCTTCCCAAATTAAACGATCTAGTTCTTCATTCACAACATCTACCCAAAGACAATTTTTTCATCATATCACTTCTCAACTATGGGGGTCTTGAGTAGCTTAGAGAATTCAAAGAAAATTTTTTCATCGGCTACCTCACATGTAATGGTATTGTTCTTGCAATTGATCACCGCCCCCAAGGTCTTAAGAGCTTCACGGCCCAAAATCAAAGGTGTATCCACATCTTCTTCCATATCCATCACTACAAAGTCACAAGGCACATAGATATACCCAACTTGAATAGGGACATCTTCAAGCTCACCACAAGGTAGCTTCACCGAACGGTCGGCCAATGGAATGGTTTTCCTTGTGGGGATCATCTCAATGTTAAGCTTTTGAGTAATGGATAGAGGGATCAAACTAACACTTGCTCCAAGATCGGCTAAGGCACCCCTAGCTTCCATGTTCCCAATCTTGACCGATAGAGTGAAACTTCCCGGATCCTTTTGCTTCTTAGGCATTTTGTGTTGAACAAGCGCACTCACTTGATGGGGAAGAGTGATAAGCTCATCATTAAGCTTCCTCTTGTTGGTGAGAATGTCTTTCAATAACTTGGAGTATGAAGGCATTTGTGTGACTACCTCAATGAAAGGGAGTTTAATGTATAAGTTCTTCATCACACTTAAGAACTTTGCGAATTTGTCATTCAATTTTCTCTCCGCAAGTCGACCGGGAAAAGGAACCGGTCCATCAAGATTTCTAGCCTCACTAGAAGTTGAGGATGTCACCACATCCTTAGACTTCTTTTTCTCCATACTTCTCTCTTTCTCATCAACCTTCTCTTCTTCAACTTCTTTATCTTCACTCACCCTCTCTTCTCCTTCCTTCTTTTCTTTTCCATCCCCCTCCTTGGGACCTTCATAGGATGTGCCCGATCTCAATTTGATTGCCTTACAAGAGTCGGGTTTTACGATGTTAGAAGGGTTGGTTTGTGATTATCCGGGTAAAGTAGAAGATGAGTTGAAAGAAACCCTCTCGGCCAATTGAGCTAGTTGTGAATCAACCATCTTGTTGTGAGCCTTGACCTCTTGCATTTGTTGATTCATGGCTTGAAGTTGTTGAATAATTTGGGTTTGAGTACAATTGGGTTGTGATGCTTGCTCTTAACTCCTTTGAGTCGATTGATTTTGGTTGTGGTATTAGTGTTGATTATTGTGTTGGTTGTTTCTTGGGTAGTTTCCTCTTTGATTTTGGGTTTGGAATGGAGGTGGGTTTTGATATTAGGGGTTGGAATTGTATGGTTGTTGAGCTTGTTGATTCCATTGTTGAGGTTGGGTTGCAAATCCAGGTGGTGGTTGTCTCCAAGCTACTCCACCGCCACCTCCCCTATATCCGTCTTGCCTTGTGTATAAAGCCACTACATGCTCCGGGCTCAAACCTCCACAATAAGATGTATCGTGGTTAGTGCCGCCACAATTTTGACAAGAGAAAGAGTTGACTTGGGAGGATCTTGCCCCACTATTGACACTAGTATTCAACTTTGCAAGCCCTTTTGTCAAAAGCTCAATTTGATGTTGCAATTGATCAACTTTCTCCAACTCATACTTCCCACCTTTCTTCGGTGCATTCCTCCTTCTACCACCCCAAGAGTAGTTCTTCACTACCTCTTCAATTGTTGCTTCAACTTGATTTTAAGGGACTTTGATCAATTGTCCACCCGCCCCCGCATCCAAGTTAGCTCTAGACATCGGCTCCAAGCCATCATAGAAGAACCTCATGAGTAAGCTTTGGTTGTATTCATGGTGAGGACATGCTTACATCAACTCTTTGAACCTCTCCCAAGCTTCACTAAGGCTTTCATCCGCCTCTTGTTCAAATGATGCAATCTTCCTCCTCATCTCGACGGTCTTCTCTTCGGAAATGAACCTTTTCAAGAATGCTTGGACAATTTCCCTCCATGTTGTGAGAGAATTAGGCTTGACTTGCTTGAGCCACTTCTTTGCTCTCCCCGCAAGAGAATGTCGAAATAGATGCATCCGAATGTATTCTTGAGAAACTTGGTTGGTTTGTATCATGGCACAAAGTTCAAGAAATCTATCAAGATGCTCAATGGGGTCTTCGCTTGGAGAACCCGAGAATTGCTCCGCTTGAACCATTCGAGTGTATTGAGGATGGATGGTGAAGTTAGTTTCCGTGACGGGTAGCAATATCCCACTGGTGAGCTCATAATCCTCCGGATTACCGAACTCACGAAATAAAACATCCACTTGTTGTCCCGCCATTTCGTCGCCTTGAGAATGTGAGGAACAAGAATCACTCTCACTATCAAAAATAGCACCAAAACCTCGCCCCTCTTCTTGATAAAGTCGACGGACTTGTCTCAAGGTGCAGTCGATTTTGTGATCGATGTTATGAGTAGGTGGTCCTTGAGATCTTCTTTGCATCCACCAAAGCTAAGAAAACTATTAGCAATGACTAGCAAGTGGAAAAAGAACGAAGTAAAAAGCAACAAATCCAATAATAACGCAAATTAAATGTGCAAAACTAGCCGCTTCCCCGGCAACGGCGCCAAAATTTTGATCGATGGACAATAAGTCGTTAGTTTACTATCCTAGATCAAAATTACAATTTATATCTCCTATCCTAACTCTATCAATTCTACTTTAGATAATGGTAAGGTAGGGTCGATTCCCAAGGGAACGGGGGTTTAGAACAATTAATACGATATCTAGGATAAATTGCTAGTAACAAAAAGAGGTATTGAGATTTGTGTTTGAAGAATCCTATGGACAAACCATCTACTATTAAGCCTAGAATAAACTAAAAACAATGGGAATATATTAAACACTCTTAAATGCAAGTAAATGGACTAGATTAGAGAGATAACAATGGCAAAAGCACTAGGGAGAGGGGGTTCCAATCATGACCGACAAGATACTAATGAGAATCAATAAGGAAACATACAAGGAGTTCAAACTCTACTCAAAGCAATTCATTCTCATGCAACTACTCAAAGCAAGTTGATGAAATCAAACAACCCTAAACTAGATCATTCTCATGCATCTAATCTAGGACTAAAACATTGGGGTTATAGGTGCACACAATAACTCCAAGCATATTAAGCACAAATCATCAACTCAAGGTATTTTCCAATCAATAATCAATATAAACTTAAATAAACATGATTTTCACCCCTTTCCCTAGCTAAAAATCTAAGCTAGAGAAAGGAAAATAGCCATGACAACCAAGCTAAACAAGTATTCAATCCTAATACAACCTAGCATGATTCTAAGTCATGGAGAAAATCAAAGAAACCAATAAAGCTTGAATATTTATGAAGGAAAACTCAAGTAGAACAATAAAACCAAGTAAATCAAAAACTAGAGAAACAAAAGTAAAGATTGATATAATAAAGTTGAAAGATTACCAAATCACCAAAGTAGTAGCAATAATCTAGAGGAAAGCTTGAATATTTGATTACAAAGATTGATTCTTAAAGGCTAATGTTTTATCTCTCTAAAAGACATGGATTTTCTCTCTCTACAAATGTTTTGAAGCCAATGGAATAGTGAATATGTCCAAAAACTCAAGCTAAAGACTATTTATAGTCTTCTACCAAAAAGAAGAAAAAGGGCAAGGGAGAGGGCTCTCCGAACCGGCTGTCGCGTCCTCTCCAAACTAGGTATTAAGTTCGTCATACCCAGATTGTCGCGCCCGCGGGGCTAATGTCGCGCCCGCGGCTCGCCATCTCCACTTTCTTCAGCTTGTATCAGGACCTCCATGTCCGCGCCCGCGGCTTTCAAGCCCGCGCCCGCAGCCATTCTTAACAGCGCGCCCTCTCCATTTTGGCATCTCCACTTCCTTGGCAAAATCCTTTAGCATCTCTACTCGAGCTACAAATTCATGATTCGCACGAGCGCTAGGAGCTATTAAAACACATAAAAAGGAGGTAAAAACTAAAAGATAAGACAAAAAGGGAAGGGAAAATATGAGAGGGAGCTAAAGTGACTAAAAACGAGATAAAAGGGGTGAAAAGAGGCGTAAACGAGTGACAAATCCGGGGGAAATCTCTAATGAAAGAGGGTAAAAAGGTGGCATAAATGCTACACATAAAAATCCCCCACACTTGCCTCTTGCTTATCCTTAAGCAAGACAAAAAGAGAAAGATAAAACAAACACCACAAAGACAAACATATTATGGCATGGTTTTGGAAAAACAACATTAGAGTTCGAAAGGACAAATGCCTTATTCGGATTAAATTTTAAAGATCCATATCCGCGAAAAACGGATATGAATCCACGGATCCGGGTAAGATACGGATCCATTGTCATCCATACCTACAGGTTTTGGTTTCAAAAAATTGAGAACCTGAACCAGAACCTGTTGCAACAATTTCTCAATTTTACTACCTGGAACTGGTTGCGGAACTTGTGGTTCCTAATAGGTTCCGATTCCGACTCAGGATACCTTGATTTTTTGCTCACCCTTAGTCAGGTTTGCAAGTCGGTCGCAAATTGTCAGGTCTAATAATAACATAATGTTTAAAAAAAATCATTTATAACAAAAATTAAGTACTTTTCTTGCATACTTCGTATTTCATATTTTTGTATAAAAGTCGTTCAATAAAAAAATTGTAATAGATGCTGAATCGGTGGGTGGATGGTGATTAGGGGATTTTTTCCCCCGCCACGTGGACCATTCAAGTCCTGCCACGTGTCATCCACGTGGACCAACCAGAGTCCGCCTCGTGTCACCTCGTGAGAGGTCCAAAGTGGACCAATCAGGCCACGACACGTGGCAGACAAATAGCCCATCAGAAAAATGGCCTCCTATGGCCTAAATTCCTAAGCAAAGCCCAGTCAGCCCTAGGTTTACTAAAACCTAATACTGGGCACGTTTTTCAACACCATATAAAAGGGAGATGTTTCCCTCTAAAGAGGAGGATTAAAAAAAATATTTAATTCACATTAACTCATAATCAAAGAAAGTCAGACATCTGACACCTCGAACTGAGCAATTTCACATTGCAGATACTCTCTTGGAGCCCAAAGGCGACTCTTTACTTTCTGCACTTTACTCCTCATACACGTTCTAACTTGATCGTCGGAGACGGAACTCCCACCCACCAGAGTCTCCATTGTTTTACAGGTACAGGCGTCCAGAAGTTAGTCTTGGAACTGTGACTCTCCCGCAGGACATCAAAAAACCCCGAAAAATTTGGTGCCGTTTGTGGGGAGAGTACTTTCGAGATGACTTCACAAGAACCTGTACCGCCTCTTAATGAGAAACGGTCTATGGCCGATGTCCAGGTCTAGCTACTCAGACTAGGATACAGATGACGACTATGAAGTCGCCACCCACACGGCCCCTGATGGGTCCCTCAAGACACGGCGCATCCACCCCACCGAAAGGAGGGAACGGAACACCGACTAGGCAGGGCCTAGTGAAACAGTCGGCCAGCCAGTTGGTCAGCTCCAAGTGGCCGAAGGATCCACCCCATCACTAGAAACGAGCTCATGACTCTCATGACAAGTTTCAAAGGGGAGATAAAGGATCTTATTGATAAACGGATGGTTGTCCCTACTAAGGAACAGTCGGCCAAAAAGCCCTCTCATTCTGAGAGGAATAAGTCGTTTAAAGACCGAGAGGCCACTCCTTACCTAAACCAAGGGAGGGACAGAAGCCCTTATTAAACTTGGTCAGACTTCGATTCCCTGAAACAAGGAAGAGGAAGGTCATCCGGCATGTACAGCCGGATGGTTCCAAGAAGACATATTCCGATGCTCGGATGATAATCCAGCAAAAGAAGAATATGCAACTGTCAGAGTCGGCCTCAACGTCGAACATCAATGACAGCTTTTAGAATACCTCAATGAGGTATTCTCACTCAAACCGAGAGGACCAGACAGGCGGCATGTCCACTCACTTTAGTCCTCAGATGTTCCAGGCAGGCTACTTCTTGTCTCTTGCTGAGAAACTTGGTTCTCCAAGTTCTTTAGACTACTTCTTGTCTCTTGCTGAAAATGCAAAGTGTTGTCAGCCATTGCCTTCACAATATCTTCCAGAGACATGCTACCAGATTGTGGCTGGGAAACTTGTTGATTCTGAGGTCGCGGCTGATATTGTGGTTGCTGATGGAACCCAGGTGGAGGATTAGAAGCTTGCTATTGCTGGAGAGTTGGTGGTCTAAGGTTAGAGTTGCCTCTCTGCTGCTGTGCATTACCATATCTCAGGTTTGGATGATCTCTCCACCCCGGATTATAAGTCTGAGAGAATGGATCATAACGTCTTTGCTGCCCCTGACCACTACCAATCGAATTCACTTCTTCTTCTTGCAGAGTAGGACACATATCAGTTGGGCGTCCTACCATTGAACAAAGGTCACATACTTTTTCTTGCTCTTTTTCGATCATTACTCACTCCACTAAGGAAGTGAGTTTAGCTACTTGTTGCTCAAGGTTAGAACTCACCACTTCATTAACTTGACGTACAGAAGTGGACTTGATATTTTAACCTCCTCGATACTGAGAGTTTGCAGCCATGTTTGTAATCAGTTTCTTTGCCTCTGCGGGTGTTTTGTCAACCAGTGCTCCACCACTTGCTGCATCAACTAGATTCTTGTCTGTCTCCCTGAGTCCTTCGTAAAAGTATTGTATTAATAATTGCTCACCGATCTGATGGTTTGGACAACTATCACATAGTTTCTTGAAACGCTCCTAGTACTTATGAAGTGTCTCTGCATCGTCCTGTCGAATTCCACATATTTCTTTCCAGATATTGGCTATCAAAGATGCTGGAAAATATCTTTCTGCGAATACTTTTAACATTTGATCCCATGTTGTGATGGTTCCAGCAGGTACTTCAAATAACCACTCCTTAGCAGCATCAGACAAGGCAAAAGGAAATGCCTTTAACTTGAGTTGGTCAAGGGTGACACCAGCCGGTTTCATCCCCGCACATGCTATGTGAAATTCCTTCAAAAATCTGCTAGCCTCATTCATGTGAACTGAACCCAAGGAGTTAGTATTACGGAAACCTGAAAATGTGGGAAGAGCTCTAATCAACCCCGGCTTGATCTCAATTTCTGCCTCATCGTCTACTATACACAATAAATTTGGATCAAACGTTGGAGCTGCGAACTGCTTTAGTGTTTGATCACCCATCTCAAAAATATATTCACCCTCCTCGTCCGAAAATGAACTTTCACTGTGAGGTAACGGAATATGACGAGCTTGCTCCAGTATTTGAGCACGAGTCCTTTTAGCTACAGGAAGAGTAGAA